TCCACCTCGTAGGAGTAGATGGCCGGGCAGGGCGAGGCGGGCAGTCCCTGGGCCCGCGCGAGGGCCGCTGGTTCCAAGAGCGCCGCGAGCGCCAGCGCCAACCGCGCCAACCGCGCCACCCACGTCGCGCGCGCCATTCTCCCTGGAGCTGCGCACAAAGAATCGGGCTCAGGAATTGGGTCTCATTTCAGAACTTGTGCGAAGAACCTAACACATAATACCATTGCGGCAAAAACACTGGCGCGACATGAATCAATATTGCTGACGTCTCGCATATTTAGAACGATTTCACGATTATATACTTGTAAATTTCTATGAAATAGTGCTACAACAGCACGTACTTTCTCCACCGTATTTCCCCCAAAATTACAAGAGAAATACCTACATTTTTGAGAAATTGTAGAGGACTTTTTGCAATACCTACCTTTAAGGAACATATTTTATTAGGAAGAAAATTCTTTATCTTTAATACTTTAGTTAGTATAAGAAGATTCAAAATAAAAATAACCATTTTCTACGAAGATATGACCTGTATCTTTCTCTTCACACTATCCAACAACAAAATTATAAACGATGGAGCCATTTGTTTAAAAAATTGGAGAGTCGTAGTTCCCCCCCCCCAAATTAAAATATCGGTTTCAAGACATCAGCCAGATCAATGTTGGAATATCAATTTTGTAGAAAATCGTCTGAGCGTTTTAGCTTGTAGTGTTGGTCACAGACGGACCGACGTTTTGTCGTCATGCGATTTTTGGTAATAAAGGCCTAACAAAACTTGGATTCTGCGGTAATAGCACAGCAGGTAATAGAGGATGTTTTTCTAAATTTAGCAACTAGATTTATCCATTTTTTGGTTGTGAGTACCTTGAAATACGAGTTTTCTGCCAAACATTAGCCGTTTTTTCGCGCAGCATTACATAACTTTCTCTCTCCTCCGTAGCGAGAAAGTAATGTGTGAGACTCGTAGGAATGTGTCAGGCGTACTAATTTCAAAATGCCAGTCGACCACTGGTCCGTCAACATTTAATCGTGCGCCAAAGACTCGCTTTGTGCTAGTTACGTAAAAAAATTGTATAAGTAGAAAGCCACTTCTAGCGCCTGTGGCCTCGCTTCAGAATATTGAATTGTTTTGCTTTACTGAGGCAACTTGAAATAGAAGACGAAAAGCGACCGTAATGCATTGTGCTTTGAGTTATCATCTGTCGTGGAAACTCCAAGTAAATCGAATAAGACTATTGACTTCAGAAGTAATATATGCTTCAAATAGTTTTGAAGCATATCTCCAACGAGGTATCTCCCAGCTGCTGGGCACCGCCCCAGCCGGGACAAACTCTAAGTTCCCCGCCGGTATTGTGGTAGAGTAGTGCATGTAAGAGTAAGTGTGTGTAAGGGGTAAGATAGGGTAAGGAAAGATCGCGCGAAGTCCGTGGCCCGTTTGTTAGGGTACTGCTCCGGCATTCGGCTGGATTGATTGGAGAAACCACGGAAAACTACCCAACAGAGCAGCTTGACGCTAGGATACTCTTCCAGACAGAGACTGAATTCGACCTAGCTAACATCCTGGAGTCGAACATCCTGCCACTGCTAGGTCTTAAACCTAGGAACTCCCCGTCAGTTGACAGCCCAAAATAAAGGTTGGTCCGTACGTAAGGAATGGGATATTCCTTATTCCTGAGGAATTGGTTTATTTGTTTGTTTTCCCATCATTTTTCTGATCGAACGGCCTAATCATTTGAGCATTTCGTGCACTACCGCAAAGTGTCAGTCATTTCCCCTGCTTCTGAAACCTCATCTGTGCGCAGCCGATGGCTCGGTGTCCACTGTTCTGAGACGTGGATCGTGACAGTCGCGAGAAACTACGAATTCGGCTGTTGGAGGGGAAGGCAGCGGTCACAGAAGTTCTTCACAAAATCTTTCAAAGATACTCCTGAGTCGGCCTGGAGCCGAGTGCGCTAAGGCTGCCTCGGCTCGAAGGGTCGCTGGTTCGAATCCCGCCTCGGACATAGATGTTTGTGTGTGTTCGTGTTGTTTCTAAAGTTCTCCCTACAGTTAAAACAATCACAGTGATCTCTATACCACCAAGTTCTTGAAAAGGGATCTAAAAAGTAATATAAAAATACTCTTGGATCGTAGGGCATGACAAGTGCTGGAGTTTAACCCAAAAGGATCACGGAGCAGAGACGTTACGAACAGTAAGAGAATTTTGAAGTGTTTCCTCGCACGTGCGGTTAGGTAAAACAAATTGCTTTCATGTTTACTTTCGGGTTGATCTCATTTAATTCCGCTTCAGACGGACATTTTGTCATCATTTCTCGTCAGTTGATACAGAAAAATGAAGCACGAATCATTTTCTCTTCAAACGACGTATCGTAAACACCATGTGTGCCCTCCTGCACGAAACGTTGAAGAGCAACAATAAATGATCAACAGAAAACATTAATTCCTGGTATCTATTGAAGATTGATCCTGTATGCTCCCGACCTAGAACCAGCTTTTCCACCTATCCCAATATCGTTAATAAAGGATCAACACAAAAATCAGAAATATAATAACAATAACAACAATAAAAATCATGATAATAATGATAATGGTAATGATAATAATAATAATAATAATAATAATAATAATAATAATAATAATAATAATAATAATAATACATGTATGGGGACTTCGAGGAGCTAAAGTAGCACGGAGTCGAGCCCTGCCTGTTTCGAATATAAGAATTCCTCCCGTGCTGTTCCCTCTCGCCATAAGGAAGCGCCGGCGCGCACGTGACGGGGCCTGGCCTCGCAAGTCATCGGAGGATTCCAGCGCCCGTTGCACAAGGCGGCCATATGTTGGGCTTCTTCAATGTGCTTCTCTTCAGTCTATTTTAGATGCTTTTCTAATCGGTTAGTGCCAGGTTGAACTCTATTTGCAATAAATAACAAAGTTAAATTACTGTGACGATCCTTACGATTCATCAAAACATTAATTTAAATTTGTGAATAAGATTCTGTGAACCACATTGCTATGATAAGCAAGTGAAGGAACACGGAAACGTGACATTTATTTATTTGAGCCGGATCTGAGAAACTCTGCCGAATAACAGACAGACCGGTCGTTAATAAATAAAGAGGAGGTTTTAAAATGAATAAACATTCGCGTAAATATTAAGTTTTTCGAATAATTAAAAATAGGAATAGTTTAGAGAAAGACAATTGAATGCAATAACTCCAAAAGTTTAATTTTCGTAATTCATAGAGAAGCACCGTTTCAGTGCAGGCCAGCGCGGACCGAAGGTGTCATAAATATCGGTAATTTTCATTGTTTTTGATTTATTTTTTAATCCATCTAAACCATTTCATTACTGACTACTTTTTGTAATGTTTTTACTTCTGAATTTATACATCTTCTAGAAACACAAAATTAATAAATTCATTTTGAAACTTCTTACATATTCCTTTGAAAAATTAGCGTGCAATTTGCAATCAAAAAAGATCTTGTGTGAATAACTTCCTATTGTCTCTCAAAACTTGTAGCAAGAAAACGTTCAATCAACACAACTTCAAGGCAACGGTGCTAATTTCATAGAAACCTCTGCGCCCTAGGCCGCAAAGTAATTCTCCAGATACATATTTCACCTCCTAGAAGAACTGCATTTATGCATTAGGCTCTGCTTTATTGAGCAGAACTTACTCAATCATATTTCGCTATGTAGGAAATTTAATGAAATATCCTTTTTAAATTTTCACTTTACAACAATGCCGATTAGTATAGAAATTAATTTGATGTTATGGCAAAACGAAATGACTCATTTTTATATAATTGTTTTGCATTTTCGCCGATTTCGACTAATAAATCATTTTTCACCCCTTTCCGTTTATTATGCATTTTATTGCTGATTTAATCGATTGTAATACCATTTTAATGGCACTTGCTTCAAACAATATTTACGTGATAAAACATATGTTCTTCACCGAATTCCTGAGTAGCCTTTTGGATTTCTTCGCTCAAAATTGTAATGTCAGCAGATGTGAGGACGTAATCTAAGGTTCCTGTGACGCATATCAGCACCATTGTCGGTTTTGCCGATTTCGGGATAACTAAAGACAGATTTCCTGGTGAAGAGTCCAAACTAAAACTTTGCGAGGTGAGAAACGAATAGAAGTCTCGATTGTATCAGTGACGTATACAGCTTGAGTTGTTAATCCGAACTGATTTTGATCACATTTATACATAATTATTCTTTCCTTTAGGGCATTTGTAAACATTTTAAGAGCGTTTTATTGATTATTTTTGTCATTTTTAGGTAATCAAAATTCGCCTCACTTATAATAACGATTTTAAAATCTTTTATTAGTGTGTTTATTATTCATTGCCTGAATCATGGAATTTATAGAACATTATGAAATAAAACAAACATGGAAACAATTTTTAGAACAGTATGACATCAATAACAATAGTGTTGATTCGAGAAATAGACATTCCGAGATCCGCAGACTTACGATTGAAAATAACAGGCTTCTTGACGTTGACATAAAGCAAATCCACGAAACATTCCTTCTGGTCATCTTCCCCACCCATCTTCAACAACCAACACTTACCTACGCGGTTTGAAGTTCCGACAAAATTTCAATTAATACATGTATCGTATTAGATGCGATGTGCTTCATGTATTAGACGTGTAGAAAATTGTATTCTTGTGTAATAAATTGTTTTGTTTCTTGTACAGTTTTTTCGTCTTAATAGATACTTACGTACTCGTAGTAAAGAGTAAGTCATTTAATGCTGCGGCGGGAATCGCCAATTTTTCCACACCAAAACCTTATTGTGAAGGTCTGGTCACGAAAGAGTGGACAAATATTTTTCCTGCGTGTAAGAGAACGTAATAAATTACTTTCTCTAACATGTTATGTAGCGAGAATCCACGTTTCTCGATAAAGGCTACCAAAGAATTGAAGGAAAAACGACTGCCCAAATGTCTGTCCGTCCATCTATCCGTCCTTCTACCCGTCCGTCTACCTATCTGTCTATCCATCCGTCTATCCGTTGTCTATTCCCGTTATCCATACCGTTCTACCCGTCCCGGTCCATCGACCGGCCGGCTATCTGTCCGTCCGTCTATCTGACCGTCCATCTGCCCGTCTATCTCTCCATCCCGCTATCTGTCTGTCCGCTTGTATCTATAATTATAATAGCTTACTCGATTATAAGGAATGAAGAAAATCGGAAAAAGGGAAACATTTTTCAGTTAAACGGCTTATTCCTAAACTATCCTGTTTTTTCTGTCCTAAACTAACTTATTCATTACATGGGCTGATTATGAACTATGTTTATGAAATTTTTACTAAAAAACATTTTCTATACAATCTTTTTCACTTTACTAAACAGTTTAGTTTGATCCGTGCAAACACTTCGCTCTTTGTAAATCATTATTTTTAAAGTGAAAATAGTTTTATAACCGCACTTTCACCATTTCTGTTGACCCGGGCAAAGGACTTGGGTCCCTATCAAAAATACGGAGAGGGAACGGTGAAAAAGTAATCAGTTTGGAAAGTAGGAAGAAGAAAGGACGTAAAAAACATAAATCATATCCTCTTATGAACATGGACTTGGATATTAAATGTCTAAGACGTACAGTTTCTGAATTTTCTCCGAAATTAATGTGTTGCAGCATAATATTTGTTGCGGGTTGTGTGTGCGTCGGTTTTGTCCTTATGACAAAATGTACTAAATTCAATTTTTTCGTCTTTGTTTTGTTTGATGCACAAATAGAGGCAATTTCCTGCAGAATAGGAGGAAGTCCCTTAAAAAAACGAAATATTTGACAAATATCTCGACGAAATTATTGTTTGATGATATTTGGATGACAAATTATGCTAAGTGATGCACACTGAAATCATATTAAAGTAATATTTTCGTTGACTATTTCACTCGTGAAATTAAAACCAATATAGTTTAACTAAACATATAAAATGCCTCCTTCAGGATTGCGTATCTCAAAAAGTTTATCGTTTTTTCTATCCGATATTTCTTACCGCTTCTCCCTACTGGTCAATCACTAACTGTGACTGATTCATCTTGGGAGGCAGTACACATCGTTCCCTCAGCCTGTGCAATAAACCACGTATGTACTGCAACATAACCTCTTTGATTTTAGCTTAGCTTAGAGTTATATTCAATATTTTGGGGCACTTTGGAACTCTGTTGTACATGATTGCATTCGTGGAATAGTCCTATTAACTACCACTCGTGCTCTGGAAATTCTCAGATAATCCCCTCTTCGCTTCGCGAGTCAGGGATTTATTGACAATTTCCAAAGAACTCGTAGTATTAGCTATGAATTACTTATTTCATTGAAATTCATTTGAGGGAATTCGCAACGCACCCGGCAGTCCACAGAGCAAAACTTCGTCGCTACACAATACTCCAACGGCTCCCAAGGAAATTTTCGTATTCGAATAGAATCAATATTCGAAAGCCCCGTTTCCAATTACAAATTAATTAGGCGCGCCAAACGGAGCTCTCTGATAGCTTCGAGGAAGGTTCTTACCATTCCTAATAGGCCAATTGGCCAAGAAATAACTGAACAGATTTGTTTTCTTTGCTCTTCCCAGAAGTTCCCAGCACATTCTGAAACGGGAATATTCATGGAATTTAAAAATTGGTTCCCTGAGTTTCCTCTCGCGCTTTGTGACTTGTGGAGATGGGTGCGTTACTTTACAGTCGTCTTGTTTCTTGCAATTGACAAATTGAATATATTTACAGCGATATTTCCCGGATATTGTTCCCTACAATAATGTAATATATCATTAGTTTAAAGCTACATACCTCATTAAATATCGCCAGTAAAAAAATTGGTAGTGCAGCAGAATGACACAGACTTCCTCGTACTAGTAAGTTTTCTAATTTCTTTGATGTGGGCTAGCTTTTGGTGTTGCTCCTTCTTCTGTCAACTACCATTTTCTCACATTATTAGTATTGCTAGTAAAGAAGAGGAAAATCTCATCCTACAGAGAACCTTCCATTAAATAATTTGGAATTGTTTTTAGGAAAATGTCGTTTAGGTAAATGTGACACTTGCAGTTCTTTTTTCCAGAAATCTTTTGAGTTTTCGAAAATCTTTATTGGAAATCACTTGAAACATTTCACATACAAGTGCAATAATGTATACATATTTCTGAAAATATAGTTAATAACGGCGTGAGAGATATTTAAAAAAAATTATTTGCATATATATTTGAAGAAAACAAAATATTGCAGAAAAACGGCTTTTACATCATGTTATAAAGTGCATCTTATCCGCACAAAACGCTTGAAGAAAAAATTTCGAGTCGTTTTTGAGATTAAGGCGTTTCAATGTATTTGAAAAAGCAGACATTTGAGCTTATTTTCACAGACAACTTTTGAGTTTTCGAGAAACTTCGGAGAAGTTATCATTTCAAGCATATGTACCCATAAATGCAATGATGTGAACAAATCGCCTCTAATGTAAATATTAACGACGTGAGAGGGATGTCAAAAAATTACAATCGCGTAATGTTTCAAAAAACTACAATAGAGCAAAATGGCGATTATGTTATCTGATACAGTACATTTAACACTATCCCTACCACAAGTTTGAAGAAACAATTTGGAGCCGGTTTTGAGAAATTCTTATTTTTGATATTTTTAATATTTTATATATTGCACGCAACATTGCGCGAAAACTACTAAAATTTTCAAAGCAATTCGGATAAAGGAGTTAATTAAGGAGAACAAGTTTAATTTGAAGGAAAAACCTCTTATCTTCAATTTTGTAGTTGTGGTAAGGCGCCAAACAAATTTCAAACTTTTGCAACTTTCGAAAATTTGGAATGAACAACAAAATGGACAAATGCCACCTTTATAAGTGCATTTCACTCTCTGACGTTTTGACATTAATCTATTTTTCGGTATCAAGGACTCACAAAACATCCTACACCACGTGTTGGATGAAAGTAATTGATTATACATAGGAAGATAATTAATCCACTTATTTTGTCACCAGGACCACGGAATTGAAGTTTTCTTCGAATATTCGCCGTTTTCCGGCGTACGATTACAATACATTCTCTTTTTACATTCTTACATACGTAAGGGAGAGAAAGCAAAACATGGTTTCAAGCATTTTACACAATTGAAATCATTTAAAACTTAATTTTGAATGGTAAAATATAAGAAATTTTTCATGTTTATATCATATATAGTGCATACATCTTGAAAACTACACCTGGATAAAATCTCTTTAAAATGTCAATACTTCTATGTTCTTTGTGACATTTATACAATAAAATCCACGTTTTGGAGAACGCGCTATGTCGCCTTCGAGCATCTATTTTATGATGCAGAATATTTTATGTATGAAAATCACAAATATGTGCTGTTAATATTGTTGTAACTTTACTAGATGGCGTTGAAGAACAAAATTGCCCTTCAGTTTAATTCAATTTCCATTCAAACAATGCTACCCATTGCTGCGGAGCGTTGCCGTGTTGGGCAAGGCCCAAGGGAACGGGACGGGCGCGCGCGAGAGAAAGGGAGTCGGAGAGAGAATGAGAGAGACGGAGAGATGCAGAGAGAGTCGGAGACAGAGAAAGAGAGAAATGGCACGCGTACGTAAGGGAGAGTGAGAGACAGTCAGAGTGACAGACAGAAAGGGACAGCCAGAGATAAGAGACACAGAGAGAAACAGACACATACAGAGAGAGACAGTTAGTGACAGAGACGCAGAGCGAGAAACAGACAGAGGCGTGGAGAGAGAGAGAGAGAGAGAGAGAGAGAGAGAGAGAGAGACAGACAGACAGACAGAAACAGAGAGACAGAGATAAGGGTGAAGAGAGGCACAGAGAGGAACAGGGGCAGAGAGACGGAGACAGTAGGAATTAAATATGAAAAAACGGGCAACGTCGGGTATATTGCTAATAAGTATTAAAGCTTTTGTATGAGATAAATGGGTTATTGTTTCCAGACATAAGCCTTAAAAACCCAGCCTTAAATGACCAGGTTCTGAAACAAGTAAACAATTTTAATTATCTAGGGAATGATATACCGTATAAGTACGACAGATATATACAGAAAAAATGCTTGCGTTCTAGCTAACTTTTATGTGAAACCATAAGACGAACCCTTGGTAAGGAAATACGAAAAGAAACAGTTAAAATTCAATAAAATAATGGCAATACCAACCTTGATATACTGTAACGAATGCTGCGTTTTAAAACAAGAAGAAATGAGCAGAATACAGGCATCAGAGATGCACTTTCTGAAGGTAGTGACGGTTGTGCGAAAACTGATCAAAAATCAAGACATTAGAAAACAATTAAAAATTTTGTCGATCCACGATCAAATCTAAAAGTAGAAAAGAAATTGGAGCCAATATCTCTAAAGAATGGAGCTGCTTCAAAAGACATGGACACATCGACCGCTTGGAAAACGAAATTGCGGGGGAACGAAGAAATCGGTGGATCATCGAACCGGAACAGGCTGTTAGGCCTAGACCGTTAAGAGGCGATAATTGTATTTTTCGACCTATTTGTATTCGATTGACCGTGCTATCAGTGTTA